ATGCGTTGATTGGCGTTTCCAAATTGTGTGTGAATGTGTGTGCGATTGTGCCCTGAGACCGGTTGGCACCCCATCCAGGTCGTCCCCCGCCTTGTTCCCTGGGATAGGCTCCAGGTGCTCCCGTGACCCCGTGTAGGATAAGCGGTATGGAAAATGGATGGATGGATCTCATACCTGTTTAATATTGTCGTTTAGACTATCAAACAAAGGTCTTGCAGAAACTGTAAGACATTCTTGAGATACAGCAAGACATCCGGGCAATGCAGTGGAGAATGCTGACTGCTATGGCTGCTAGGCCAGAAGCAGAGGAGGATATTTTGGAAAAAGGCACTGGTAAGAATGTGAAGGAGCTTCAAACACTTGACATGGAATTAGGACAGAAAGAGAAACGGACCAAGATGGTAATACGACAGAAGCTGTCAATATACATTGTACAATACTCAATATTCATTCACCAGACGTTTTTTTTTTTTACGTCTAAATCATCGTACAGAAAATTAGGCTATGTACTCAACTGATATCAGACATAACTGCTCTTAACCACATACAGTATTGTTCGATTATAACTGAGACCTGTAGTACCAAAATAGGAAATACTTTTTGTTTCTGAATATGAATGAATGAATAAGTTCACTTGATGTATTAGAGAGATTGCTCTTGTGTTGTGTGATGTTAGGGCGACATCACGTGGCTCCAAACCGACTGAACAGCCCGGCTATTCCGCATAGCAACTCATCAACAGTGCAGGTTTTCCGCCAGAGGGCACCATTTCATTTTTCTTTGTAGAACACAGACTGAAATGTACATCGAAATGTCCACCAGCTGCCACCACTGCCACCACTGCCTCAAGTCTCTGTGGCGCAATCTGGTTAGCGCGTTCGGCTGTTAACCGAAAGGTTGGTGGTTCGAGCCCACCCAGGGACGGGTTCCAGTTTTCTTGTTTTTTAATTTATTACACATCCCAAAACACTGCGCTTTTGTTACACACTCTCAGGTTTACACTTACACTCATATTATTCCATTTTCTGAGTCCGAATCAGAGAGA